TGGGAAAGCAATTATTCTCTCTGGAATTGCACGTTTTGCTGAACAGGAGTGTGTTTTGGTGTTTAACATGTTACATGGACTCAGGCTAGACTAGACTAGTAGATGGCGGTACTGCAGAAATTCAGAAATATAATAAATAAAATATGAATTCTCCAGGCCAAGGCTATTGGGAATTAGCACTGCTGGAACAAACTGCCCCCTTTTGAAGCTGTACTGAGGGTCTCTCCAGAGTTAATCCAAGCAAGTGAATGTGTAACATTTTTCATTCCAAATACTTTCCATCTGAGTTCGGCAATCCTAAATTATCAGGTTTTGTTCCTTGAATCTGTGCCTGAGAAATTATCTGTGGCCAATTGAGGAACAAAAGTGGAGCGGAGCAGAGCAGAAAAGAACAGAACAGAACAGAACAGAACAGAACAGAACAGAACAGAACAGAATAGAATAGAGTTCTTTATTGGCCAAGTGTGATTGGACACACAAGGAATTTGTCTTTAGTGTATATGCTCTTTGGTGCATATGCTCTCAGTGTACATAAAAAGAAAAGATACATTTGTTAAAAATCATAAGGTACAATACTTAATGATAGTCATAGGGTACAAATAAGCTATCAAATCATACTAGGAAACAATCAGTATGAATCATAAGGATACAGCAACAAGTTACAGTCATACAGTCATAAGTGGGAGGAGATGGCTAGGATATTGATAGGAACAATAAGAAGTTTAATAGTAATAGTAATGCAGCCTTAGTGAATAGTTTGACAGTGTTGAGGGAATTATTTGTTTAGCAGAGTAATGGTGTTTGGGAAAAACTGTTCTTGTGTCTAGTTGTTCTGGTGTGCAGTGCTCTATAGCCTCGTTTTGAGGGTAGGATTTGAGGGGTCTGTAAATATTTTCACAACACTCCTTTTGACTCGTGTTTCCTTCCTCGTTTTCTGTGATGGATTTCTAGAATTATTTTAAGAATGAACACGTTGCAGCTTGAAATGTAATTGACTATTGACAATTACTATTGAGATGATTGACTATTGAGATGATTGGATTTTGGATATTCACCTGCAATCTCTTGAGTCTTTCACTTTCCAATCTTATCAGAGGAAGGAATATTAGGAACAATTGTAAGTAATAATTTGTCCCAACAGTGCATCATGAACTAATAGAAAGGGTCCAACTCCATGAATAAATCAATCCTATATAGGTAGTCCTTGACACTTACGACCACAATTGAGCACAATTTTTTTGTTGCTAAGCAAAACGTTTGTTAAGTGAGTTTTGCCCCATTTTACAACTTGTCTTGCCACAGTTCACCACACTATAAAAAAGATGTTGAGACTCTAGAAAGAGTGCAGAGAAGAGCAACCAAGATGATTAAAGGACTGGAGGCTAAAATCTATGATGAACAGTTGCAGGAACTGGGCATGGCTAGTCTAGTGAAGAGATGGACCAGGGGAGACATGATAGCAGTCTTCCAATACTTGACCCACAGAGGGGGGGGGGGAGTCAAGCTATTTTCCAAAGCACCCGAAGGCCAGACAAGGAATAATGGATGGAAACTGATCAAGGAGAGATTCAACCTAGAAATAAGAAGGGATTTTCTGACAGTGAGAACAAGCAACCCATGGAACAGAAGTTGTGGGAGCTTCATCACTGGAAGCTTTCAAGAAGAGACTGGACAGCCATTTGTCAGAAATGGTGTAAGGTCTCCTGCTTGGGTGGGGTCCTTTCCACCTCTGTTAATCTGTAATCTGTAAATTGTTAAGTAAATCACAGCAGCTGTTAGCAACCCAGTTGTTAAGTGAACCTGGCTTCCCCGTTGACTTTGCTTGTCAAAAGACCTCAAAAGGGGAATCACGTGACCCCGGGACAATGCGACCGTCATAAATGTGAGTCAGTTGTCAGGCATCCGAATGTAAATCACATGACCATGGGGATGCTGGAACGGTCTTCAATGTGAAAAATTGTCATAACAAGTCATTTTTTTCCCAATGCTTTTATCTAAATGAACTGTTGTAAGTCACCATTCCTCTTATTTAGAGGAAAAAGTAGGTAATTAATCTGAAAGTTAATTATTGTGACTTCAAAAGGTCAAAAGACCACCTGGTGATGTAACATCACTGGAAAGAGTGGATCAAGTTTTTGGATGGAGGAAGAGTGAAATTTGATTGAGAATAGAAGAAAACATACAAAATTGCCATTTGGGGAAATAAATGCTCTCTCCTTTATATTGGGACTACTTGGGAGAACGTCAATGCAGGTATCCTTGACTTAAGACCACAACTGAGCCCAACATTCCTGTTGTTAAGTAAAACATTGGTTCAGTGAGTTTTGCCCCATTTTACAACCTTTCTTGCCACAGTTGTTAAGTGAGTCGCCTGGTTGTTAAGTGAATCTGGCTTCCCTATTGACGTTGCTTGTCAGAAGTGTCAGAATATTCATGACTGGGAAGACATGGTAACAAGGTCAGCCAATGAATACGCATAGCAACTAAGTCAGCCAATTGGGAGCTGAGACAGACTGGAGCCAGGGCGTGTCTTAGTGTGCAGCTTATGATTCTGTGCAGAGAAATGAAACTGAAACCAGCACAGTGTGTGTGTTAAGTCTCTCTGCTGTACTCTGTGTGTGAACATGTCTGCTGATCTGAGCTGAAGAATCAACTGTTGGTCTTGTAAATATATTTTATGTGTTATTATGAATATAAAGAAGTTAATGGATCCAGCTGACTCTGGATTTGATTTTTGCAAGACACTCTGACAAGAAGGTCGCAAAAGGGAATCACATGACCATGGGACCCAGCAACGGTCATAAGTATGAACCAGTGGCCAAGCATCTGAATTTTGATCACATGTTCATGGGATGCAAAGCGCATAACTGTGAAAAATAGTGATAAATTGGTGGGGTTTTTTCCAGTGCTGTTGTAGCTTTTGAACAAAAGCTTAAACAAACTTTTATAAGGACTACCAGCAAGGAAATAGGTCAATGAACACCTGTCTTCTTTCGGGATACTTTATAGAGTGTTTTTTTGGTCCTTGATTGTGTTTTTGGAACAAGCCATCATTTTAACAAAGTCTTTAATGAAGTCCTTAATGAATGAAGAAACAGTAATCTTTACAAAATGCATGATGTATTATGGCATCAAAGACAATCTTTGGAGAAGGTTTATATTCAGGCCAATTTTTATTTGACTAAGATGGACTGTCAGATCTCATGGAAAATGCGATACTCCTCATTCAATTGTTTTGTTTTGGGGAGAAGGATTAATTTACTGCTTGTAAAAGTAAGGAACTTTTTATCACTTTCTCCCACAAAGTAGAACTAAATCAAATTGATGGGACAGGCGCCCACTGCAAATCATGAGAATTAACGTCAATAATGAAATAAAACATTGCAAGCTTTATTTTTTATAGCTTTCTGGGTTTTTTTATATATTTCTGTTTATGATCAGAAGGTTGTTTATTCTAATTTAAATATTCATAGCTCCAACTTGCTGTGGAGTTTTGAAACAAAACCGAAAGAGCAAAGATTACCAAAAGTTTGTCGTATTGTTACCACTGAAAACCTTCGGAATCCAACCTATTGTAAGATTAAAACCTGCTGTGTATATGTAATAGTAAAATGCTTTCATTACATTAAGGGATGTTAAACTTAACACTCTTTAAGCATGTTGCACATGCTACTGATTGGACATAAGCAGGGGTGAAATCCACCAGGTTCTGACAGGTTCTGGAGAACCGGTAGCGGAAATTTTTGTCAGGCATAAATGCCCTACCCGTGCCAGGGATTAGCTATAGCTCGGTAGTGCAGGGGTTAACCCAGACACCCACCTGGTCAGCCACTCCCATAGACCCCTCCTTACCTGAATCCCCGCCCACAGGTATAAAAGGTGGGCACACTCCTCCATGTTCCTCATCCTAATGTGAACAGTGATGATGTGATGAACCTGTGAATAAAAGAGAGATATTTTACCTGATGACTCAAGTCTCTTTATTGGGCCCGATCCACCAACCCTCGTAACAAAATGGTAGCAGAGGATGGTTGGTAAGGCCCAGCGATCCCAAGCCGCAAGACAAGGACCCATACCTACCTGCAGAATGGCGACACCCCCGAAGCAATGGGAAAGCAACCCATCGGATTCGCCAGGGAAGGCAGGAACCTCAACCACCCCCAAAACCACCGCAACGGAAGAAAAGGGGGAGATCGAGAAAGGGAAAAGGGCCCACCACGGCGACCAAGAAGAAGAGGAGCTGCGACTCGACGTCTTGCAGCTGTTGAAGGAGAGAGCCGGTGACAAAAACCTCCTTGCCGACCTGCGGAGCTTCATAATCGACCGCGAGGCAGCAAGGAGCGAAGAAGGCTCGGACTCAGAACTCGAGGAGCTGGACTCGGTGAGTGGATCGCCCAAAAGGGCACTTCCAACGGCCACCAAGACCCAAAGCCCTGCTCTAAATTTGAAATGGCGGCCATCTTTGTCCACGTGCTTGGACAAGATGGCCGACCTTCAACCAATCGGCAGCCAGGATTCAAAATGGCCGGCGCGCGAAAAATGCCGGACCATGAATCATGAAGAGAGTGACCGGGGAGAGGGGGCAGAATCGGACTCGGACCCCTGGTACACACCCAGCGAGCGGCAAGTAGATAGGGCCATGAAGACCCTTGCCGCGGCCTTCGGCCCGGGCCTCAAAATTACGAAGGAGAAACCGGGAAGGCCGAAACGGAAGGAGGGACGGGGAGAAGTGCAACGGAGCACCCACCGGAGAGCCACCGACGCCCATGCCAGCTCACCAGCCCACCTTCACACCCCAGGGACACCGCGCCCCCGATCGCCCAAGCCGCGCACCCCGGATCGCGGGGACTGGGGCAGCTACTTACCGCCGTCGCTGGAGCATCAGCGCCGCCAGGATCTTCGCCTCGAGGAAGCAGCAGCAGGACGACACCTTCCGGACCACACCTGGACACCCAAGGCCGAAGCTGAGGCCTACCCGTCCAGCAGAGGCCTCTACAGCGGAGCCGCGATAAATAGATCCTTCCACGACGACGGCAGAGCTGAAATGGACTTCGCGCATGCGCTCTTCCGCCTAGAAGAAGAAAAAAGAAAAAATTACAAAGCGGGACTTTTAAACTACCGGCAAGCGTTCCCATGCCTTACTGCTGCTATAGGCACATAAGGAACCATGGACAGCAGCCAGCAGTAAGTAATTTTACTAATAGTGCTGGGAACTTACCTGCTGACTTTCCCAAGTTGAGGATGGATGGGGGTAATATTCTAGAGTGGTCACAGCAACTCCAGGTGGTATTCCTAAAAGAGAATATGTCTCATTTTATTAATGACCCCCCAGAGAGACCATGGACTTTAGAGCTGGATTGCATGCACCATAGGGCATTCTATCTCTTAATTGCCAGCATATCCCCCACAATTTACCACTGTATTGGCCACAACCTCACAGTATCAGAAATTATAGGGAAAATGTTTGGGTTGTTTTACAGTGAGAGTGTGTCCACCACCACCCAAATTTCCAAAGACTTCTTTTCTGCCAGACTTAAGCCAGGGACCCCCATGAGTGAGCACCTAGTGTCCTTGAGCGGTACCAGAGCAGAGCTACACCTTAGGGGAGAAGTTATTTCCGACCAGATCATGAAGAGCGTCATAATTAACTCTTTAGATCACTCATGGAATAACTTCTTGACACACTTAGACACCATTAGTCTAGGAATGCTATCCATGGAGAAGCTATCCAACAAGCTTATCGCGGAAGATAATCTGAGGAGGAGCCGCCCCGGCCCTCCCAGAGAACATAAGAGTGAAAAAAGAGTAGTCTTCCAAGAGAAACAGCACAACACGCCAGAATGCTACATCTGTGGGTCAAGGGGAAACATCAAAAGGGACTGCCCCAAGAACTATAGGGAGAGAGGCAGGCCAGAGCATAAGTACAGACAAACGGAAAGGCACGCATCTGAAGAAAGGTATAGGTGTAGGGACTCACCCAATCCCAGGGATAGAAGGGGGAACAGAGACAGCTCGCGCGACAGCAGGACAGGATCTCTATACGGGATAGGGGAGCACACACACACCACACACCAAGACAAAGACGCCAGCTCATGGCTCCTGGACTCGGGAGCCTCCAACCACACCACATACAACCAGAAACTACTCTCATCATTCAAGAGGGAAGACTTTTCCATCAAAGTTGCGGACCAAAACCAGGTTAGAGTGACGGGAAAAGGGACAGTTACATTGCCAGGCGTAGGGAAAATAGAGGGGGTACTGCTAGTCCCGGAAATACCCCACAACATCCTAGCCGCAGTAAAGCTTAGCAAAGAATCAGGAGTAGAGGTGACTTTTACAAAAGGTAATGTTAAAGTTAGCAAAGATGGGGAAGATATAGGAAGAGTAACCATCAGTCAAGGGTTACCTTACATAAATTTCTGTGAGAATAACACCCACAGCGTGTACACCAGTTCAGAGAACACAGAGGACACTGGCCAAAACGGGACTGAGGGGAAATAGGCAGAAGGGGGAGAGATAGATAACGATGGTAACACGACACAAGAAACACAACACAACAGACACACCCAAAGGAGGCCCTCAATAGGCAAACCCATGCATGACGACTGTGCTCATCTGCTACACCGGAAGCTAGGGCACGCCAGTTTTCCCGTGATCCAGAAAATGGCCAATTGTACCGAGGGCATCAAAATAAAGAACTGTGAACACTACCTCGAGTGCTCGGTGTGCAAATGTTCAAAATTAAAGGTAAAATCCAGACCCAAGAAGTCGTTACGTGCCGCCAAACAAATATTTGACTTAGTCCACATGGACCTGGTAGGACCCCTAAGGCCATCCATAAATTATAAGAAAAGGTACTTCCTCACCATAGTAGACGACTATAGTCGATATGGCTTCGTCTACACCTTAAGAAAAAAGGATGAGGCCTTCCAAAAATTCAAAGAGTTTTATAAAAGAGTAGAAACCCAAAACAACACCAGAATCAAACAAATCATGACCGACAAAGGATCTGAGTTTCTATCTAAGGACTTCTCCCATTGGCTCAGGTCCAAAGGCGTGATCCACTTTACATCGTCCCCGTTTTCCGCCTTTCAGAACAGGGTCGTAGAACGACGGAACTCCACGCTCCAAACGATGGTCAGGTGCGCCTTAGAGGACGCGGGCATTGGCCAACACTTCTGGTCCGAAGCCCTGGTCTATTCCAACTACACACTCAACAGAACATGGTCCAGTGTGATAGACAAAACACCATACGAGATCATGTATCACAAGAAGCCACAGATAGCACACTTACATGTGTTCGGTGTGACTGCTGATGTACACATACCCAAGCAGTTGCGCAAAAAAGGGGACAAGGTATCCAGAAGACTGAGGTTTATGGGATACGAGCCAGGAACCAAGGGCTTCAGGTTTGTGGACAGCAACAATAGATTTGTGGTCTCTAGGACAGCGGCATTCCATGAGCAAGCCAACTGGTCCAGAATACACTTAAATGAGGTACCCACCAAGCGAGAGGGCAGTCAAATTGAGCAAGCTCAAAACGAAAGCGAGACAGTGGATAGGCAGGAAGGGAGCAGGCCCAAACCCAACCTCCAAAACATTTTTTTTTAAATTTGATTTATATGCCGCCCTTCTCCGGAGACTCAGGGCGGCTTACAGTGCGTTAAGCAATAGCCTTCATACTTTTGTATATTTATACAAAGTCAGCTTATTGCCCCCACAAACTGGGTCCTCATTTAACCTACCTTAGAAAGGATGGGAGTCAACCTTGAGCCTTGGAGAGATTCGAACCAGCAGTAAATTGCAGGCAGCTGTGTTAATAACAGGGTGCTTTAAACCACTGTAGTACCAACGCTCTTAAGCGTTGAGGGATGGAAAGAGAATCATCCCAAGATAAATATAGACTCACTGACGCAAAGAGAGGCCAGATACCTACATGACACTGAACAGACAGTAGACAGACCGGTCAGGTCAACCAGAAATCAGCTACCCAGGAGGCTAAATGATTACGTGATGCACGTGCACACGAATCACATTACACCAAATTCCTACGAAGAGGTATTGAGGCTACCCCAGGAAGAAAGGACAAAGTGGGAGCTAGCCATGACCAAAGAACTGGATAGCCTGAGGAAGCTAAAGGTCTACACCCCATCCAAAGTCCCAGAGGGCAAGAGCCGATGGATCTTCAAGGTCAAGAACTTAGAGGGTGGCCAAAGTCTATACAAAGCAAGATTAGTTGCCCAGGGGTTTGCTCAAAGGTTCCCAGAGGACTACACTGACACATATTCACCCACCGTAAGGACAGAGAGCGTCAAAAGCGCCCTGGTCATTGCATCCCTGCTAGGACTGGAGGTACACCAGTTTGACGTGCAGACCGCCTACTTGCACGCCAACCTAGATAAAGAAATATACATCAGAGCGCCCCACAGCAAAGAAACCAGCAGAGGGGACACCTGGTTACTTCACAAGAGCCTGTACGGGCTAAAGCAATCAGGCAAGCGCTGGTACGAGTGCCTGGTGGAGGCCCTGAAGTCTATGGGATTCACGGCAACCATAGCTGACAACTGTTTCTTCACCAGGAAGGAGGGGGACTCACCAGAGTACATCCTAGTTTACATGGATGACATACTATACATCAGCAAACACAAAGGGAACCGCGACACCTTCGCCAGCAGGCTGGGCGAACACTTCACCCTAAAATACCTTGGAAGGATAAATCGGTACCTGGGGGTACAGGTCAACCAAACACCAAAAGGCTTCCAACTGTCACAGAAAGAGAAAATAGAAGAGTTACTCCATAAGTGCAACATGGCAGACGCCAAGGGATGTGATTCACCAATGCAGGCAGACTTCCTAAAAAACATGCATGATGAATCACCCGGATTTGAAGACAACACACTATACAGGTCAGTCATAGGCTCCCTCCTGTATATCGCTAACTGGACAAGACCGGACATTGCCCTATCAGTTAATTTATTGTCCAGGCATGTGAGCAAACCCACCACATATCACTGGGACGCAGTGAAAAGAGTGCTAAGGTACCTAAAACAAAGTGTCAATGCATGCTTAACCCTAGAACCTGAAAAATCCAACGAACCCATCCTCTCCTGCTACGCCGATGCCGACTGGGCCGGAGATGCCAAAGGCCGGAAAAGCACGTCTGGGTACATATTCTACTTAAATAACAGTCCCGTGCATTGGTACACAGGTAAACAAATCTTGGTGGCAACCTCGACTACTGAAGCTGAGTACATATGCCTCTCCAAAGCCGCCAACAATCTCATCTGGTTCGACGACCTACTCGCCAGCGTGTGGAGAGAACCAGCGCCTACCCAATAAATATCTACGAAGATAACAAGGCCACCATAGAAATATCCATGTCTGACGCTGTAGGGCAAAGATCAAGGCACATAGACATAAAGTATAAGCACGTTAGGCAGCTCTCCAGAATCAGTTTCATAAAAGCCATACACTGCGAGACAGAAGAACAGACGGCAGACATACTCACAAAACCTCTACAGGGCAAACAACACTCACACTTAGTTTCCAAACTCAACATCCGCCTCAGGGTACCAACCAGTCAGTCAGGCCTACAGACACAGGTCAGGCATTTAGAGGGGGATTTGTCAGGCATAAATGCCCTACCCGTGCCAGGGATTAGCTATAGCTCGGTAGTGCAGGGGTTAACCCAGACACCCACCTGGTCAGCCACTCCCATAGACCCCTCCTTACCTGAATCCCCGCCCACAGGTATAAAAGGTGGGCACACTCCTCCATGTTCCTCATCCTAATGTGAACAGTGATGATGTGATGAACCTGTGAATAAAAGAGAGATATTTTACCTGATGACTCAAGTCTCTTTATTGGGCCCGATCCACCAACCCTCGTAACAATTTTGAGTAGTTCAGAGAACCGGCAAATACCATCTCTGGCTGGCCCCAGAGTGGGGTGGGAATGGAGATTTTGCAATATCCTTCCCCCAGGATTGTGGAGGGAATAGGGATTTTGCAGTATCCTTCCCCTGCCACGTCCATCAAGCCACACCCACTAAGCCCACCAAGCCATGCCCACAGAACCAGTAGTAAAAAAAATTGGATTTCACCACTGGACATAAGCAAAAAAAAAATGAATAAAGAGAGGCATAGAATCAAGATTACATGAAGTACTAGTACCACTTTACAAAACCCTAGTAAGACTACACATGGAGTACTGCAACCAATTTTGGTCACCATGCTGCAAAAAAGATATTGAGACCTTGGAAAAAGTGCAGAGAAGAGCAACTAAGATGATCAAAGGCCTGGAGACTAAAACATATGAAGAACAGCTGCAGGTTTTGGGTCTGGCTGGTCTAAAGAAAAGAAGAATTAGGGGTGACATGACAGCAGTATTCCAGTATTTGAGCCGCTGCCACAAAGAAGAAGGAGTCAAGCTATTCTCCAAAGCACCTGAGGGCAGGATAAGAAGCAATGGGTGGACACTAATCAAGGAGAGAAGCAACTTAGAACTAAGGAGAAATTTCCTGACAGAACAATTAACCAGTGGAACAGCTTGCCTCCAGAAATCATGGGCGCTCCATCGCTGGAGGTTTTTAAGAAGAAACTAGACAGTCATTTATCTGAAATAGTATAGGTCCTCCTGCTTGAGCAGGGGGCAGGACTAGAAGACCTCCAAGGTCCCTTCCAGCTCTGTTCTATTCTAATTGATCAAATTATTGATCACATTCAACATTCCTATCTGTTTTATGGAAGATGCTATCACTAAAAGAATTAGCAGCAAATGGCCAAGTTACAAGTGGTGTAGGGTTTCCTGCCTAAGCAAGGGGTTGGAAAATAAGATCTCCAAGGTCCCTTCCAACTCTTCTCTTCCCTTCCCTTCCCTTCCCTTCCCTTCCCTTCCCTTCCCTTCCCTTCCCTTCCCTTCCCTTCCCTTCCCTTCCCTTCTCCTCTCCTCTCCTCTCCTCTCCTCTCCTCTCCTCTCCTCTATTCTATTCTATTCTATTCTATTCTATTCTATTCTATTCTATTCCCATCTTAAAATGGCCCCGGTTGAGTACGCCATATTTTTAAACTCATAAAACTTGGAAGCTCATCCATGAAAACCTATTCAGGCTTAAAGATCTCACAGGTCTGCCATCACCACCAGCTTTTCATGATGTTCTCAGTCAGCAAATGGGTCTGGAAACCTCCTCATTGTATTCCAAGAAATACAGCCACCACCCTTTGAATGCCGCCGCCAGCTTTGAACACAACGGGGCTTTCAAAAATCCTCAAATCACTTCTAAACTCCAAATAAAAATCATTACCTGGGAAAGAGATTACTCTTACGCTCCTTTTATCGGCACTCTTCTCTTCTGATGTTAAATTGTTTAGCGCCCGCGTAACATTTGTCTCGATATCAAGGTGGACCTGCTGGAATGTTTCTCATTTAGCACGTTTGACCGTATCTACAAAGGAAACCTGGGTCTGTGTGGCACTCAATATCTCCTATGGCATTGTGTGCAGCTAGGTCTCCCCTCCCAACCTTTCTCTCTCTCTCTCTCCCCGTAAAGCCATTGGGTTTTTTGCTTTTTCTTTTCTTTTTTTGCTGAAATGCGAGGCTGCGAATGGACTTGACACAAATTCAATCTAAGTTACAAAGAGCAGAGGGGGGTGGGGGCGAGAAATAGAAGCTTTTCTAGGTTGTTAGCTTTATAGCCTCTTCTTCTTCTGCTGCTGCTGCTGTTGCTTCTTCTTCATGCAGACTCAGCTCTGTAAAATGCCTTGCAGATTGGAATGCATCAGAGGTGAGGTTGAACTGGCAAGGTATATCTAAAAAAAAACCAAAAAAAAAACCCCAAGCAGATTAAATGCACGTGATAAAAGAACAGGATGGTGGGCGTAGCTTGGAAGAAAGTCAAGAGGAACAAAAAAAAATTAAAAATATCTTCTTCTTTAACCATTCTTGTCATTTTGAGGGCAATCCTTCCTTTTGGAGGTGGGAAGGAGAGAGACAATGACTGTATTTTACGGAGTATAAGACGCACTCCCTCCCCCTAAAAGAGGGTGGAAATGTTGGTGCATCTTATACACCGAATACAGCCATTTTTGGCCTCCCGAAACCCCACCCTGCGCCTCCCATTTTCACCAAAAACAGGCCCATTTTTCACAAAAACGGGGCACAGGGAGGATTTGGAAGGCCTGCAAAGAGCTCCTGGGGGCTGGGGAGGGCAAAAATGCAATGCGTGAAGGAGAGGTGGGTTGCAGAAGGTTCTGACCAGTTCTGTAGAACCGATAGCGGAAATTTTGAGTAGTTCGGAGAACCGGTAGTAAAAATTCTGACTGACCCGCCCCCATCTATTCTCTGCCTCCCAAGTCTCAGCTAATCGGGAGGAAATGGGGATTTTGCAATAACCTTCCCCTGGAGTGGGGTGGGAATGGAGATTTTACAGTATCCTTCCCCTGCCATGCCCACAAAGCCACGCCCACAGAACCGGTAGTAAAAATTTTTGAAACCCACCACTGTCGTGGGGGGTTTGAGAGGCGAAAAACAATGGGATGCGCAGAGGGTTTGGGAGGCCTGCAGAGTACTCCTGGGGGCCGGGGAGAACAAAAATTTTTTTTCTTGTTTTCCTCTTCGAAATCTTGATGCATCTTATACTCTGGGGCATCTTATAGTCCAAAAAATATGGTAGTTTTCTATATTTACCACTTTGATTTATATTCTGCCTTTGTAACTGTGAGGCACTCAAGGAACTTAATGGGCTTATCTAAAAATGGCAACCACCAAAAAAAAAATGGATTTAGAAAACTGAAACAGTTTGCAATGTCTTAATGCTGAAAAAGAGAAGAGAATGGGATCCTTTGGCTGTTTGTATTCAATAGCTTGAGAGCAATGCCAAAAAAGGGAACTCTTTGACCCACAGAGGCATCAGATGAGCCTCGGGAAAACACAAGGAAGCCTCTCCTGCCAACCTTATTGAAGAGACGGATTCCTGCAGAGATACACCATTGTTTCATAGTCAAGTCCTAATCTCTTTAGAGCTTTCTAAGCCAAAGCCAAAACCCTGAACTCTGCTTAGGAAACAAACCATTAGAGGTCTTTGAAACGCAGGCATAATTTCCTCCTAGAAGCATGTACCAGTTAGCGGTCTTGAATAAGTCGAAATTCCTGGATACTTGATATATGGGAAGATTCATGCGTCTCCCCAGATGCAATCATGATATAATTGAAGCAGAGGTTTCCTGCCTTCCAGAGCCAATCTTAATTCCACTTGCTTTGTTATGACTTATATTTTGTCCCCTAATTTACTATGATTATGGGGTTGTTTGTGAACATATGGTGTCTTTGTCAGGTTGTCTAAAACCAAGTATAACAAAGCATGAAAGAAACAGTCTAAGATTGTTGGAGAAGCTACTTCAGGAAGTCCAGGACAAGATCCAAGAGAGACATTTGGTGTAAGGAGATTTTGAGATGGAGATGCTTTCAAACCATTAATATTCTTAAGAGAGGACAGACACTTGTGAAATTATATCTCCCATATAACCATAAAATGATGGATGGATGGATAGATAGATGATGGATGGATGGATGGATGGATGGATGGATGGATGGATGGATGGAGAGAGAGAGAGATGATAGAGCAGCGGTGAAATCCGGCCAGATCTATCAAGCTTGAACAAACTGGTAGCACCGGTGGCAGGAGGCTCCACCCAGCCGCCGGGACGTCATTATGTTTTTGATCCTCTGCACATGCGCAGAAGGCTCTGTGCATACACAGAAGAGGCACATGCGCGCATAGCACGCTCCCATTCGCAAACCGGTAGCAAAGGTAAGTGGATTTCACCGCTGTGATAGAGAAGGAGATAATGGATGGACAGATAGATGATAAATGATGGATGGATGGATGGATAGAGAGACAGATAGAGAGATGATGGATAGATGAGAGATGATGGATGGAGAGATGATGGAGAGATGGAGAGAGAGAGAGAGCGGGGAGAGAGAGAGAGAGAGAGAGAGAGAGAGAGAGGGATGATAAATAGAATAAAAGTGTTAAAAAGAAAATAGCTGAACACATTGAATAACATGTTTGAAGAAATGCTGTTCCATAAAAAGGAGAATATTATCCTTGGCGTTTTGCAGATGATACTTTGGAGAGTCTACCTGAGGCTTTGATCCCCTTGCTTTCATTCTGAAAAGTGTACAGAAGTCAACTTGACCTAACTTGACCATTTGCGTATAATTCTTTTAGTGTTAGCCTCTTCCATGAAACAGATATGAATGTTGAACGAACATGACCTTCCTTTAGTCCAATCGGTAGCTCTATTGTATAAAAGAACCCAGTGTTACTGTGAAAAGTTGCTTAAAGAGTGTTAATCTACTTGGCGGCTAAGATGCTGTAGGAGGAGAAGAGCAGGCAAAGCTGGGCAGAGTTAAAGACATCATCAGTTTAGAGTTTTTGCATTGCCACAAAAGTTCCAACTCCTCCTGAATTCTGTTGACCTTTATCTGGCGTGAATTTAAGACAGACTGTTAGTTAACCACAGATTCTTGGGCATGCACTTGCCCCCCCTCCCACAAACAGTATAAATCTTGTATAAATCTTCTATTCTGCAACTTTACGAATGATTCTGATTCTTGGCACCTAATAGATGCTCAGCTAGAAATCAAAACAACAACAAAAACCCATGAGTTGTATTGCTGTCTTAACTGTTTTTGAGCCGGTCACTTTTCTCTCAAGCCACCTCACAGAGTTACCAGGAGTCCTTGACTTACAACTGATCATTTAACCACCATTC